AGGAAGACGCTGGCGCCTGCCTGGGAGACGGGACGGGCAGTGGTTGGCGCCGGTGTGTTTAAGGACCTTCCGGGACGTCTTAGAAGAGGAAGACAAGAGACCCTGTTCACGTGCTCAAGCTGTGGAGCACCGGTCCTGTCAACCATCCTGTAGTGACCAGACCACACACTAGAAAGTGAAGGGACGACGATGGTCCGTCCTGGACCTTTCTCAAGTCAATTGTGAATGTCGATTCATTCTATTCGGTTCCAGGTCGGACCAAAACGTCGTCGTCTCTTCACTTACTAGTGTGTGTTTTGGTCAACATATTTCAGCCAGTTGACCAGACCACACACTAGAAGGTGAAGGGACGACGACGTTTCGGTCCGTCCTGGACCATTCTCAAGTCGATTGCGAGACTTGAGTACTTCAGTCACGTTATTGTGACTCCTCGCCTGCATCCTATGGTTAAATGTGTACCTATACACGCCAGCCAGGGAAGCTCCTGAATGCATGGTTATCTTGAGATGATTTCGGGGCTTTTAGTGTCCCTGCGGCCCGGTCCTCGACCAGGCCTCCACCCCCAGGAAGCAGCCCGTGACAGCTGACTAACACCCAGGTACTTATTTTACTGCTAGGTAACAGGGACATAGGGTGAAAGAGAGACTGCCCATTGTTTCTCGCCGGCGCCTGAGATCGAACCCAGGACCACAGGATCACAAGTAGAGCGTGCTGTCCACTCGGCCGACCGGCTCCATGGTCAAGATTCTAACTCCATGGATGGTTAAGATTTAGCTACTATGAACTAAATGGCCATGTAGCACGGGCTATAGCGAGCCCGTAATCCTGATTGCAGGATTGTAAACAGTAAACATCTTAACTCACTTGACAAAAAGCCCTCATGTGAACCCCCTGGTTGACCAATCCAACGAGGAGGCCTGGTCGACGACCGGGCCGCGGGGACGCTAAGCCCCGGAAACACCTCAAGGCATGGAGTGAAGTGTGAGGAAATTTATCATGTTGAACCCTGTTGGTCGAGAACATGAAACTGAAGTCGTAGTTAAAAATCTGTCAGCCTATGCCAGAGACCTGCGTTACTAATGCTAGTGTACAAGCGACTTGTTCCTCATTTGTGAAGATAGTACGTGTGAGCTGTGACCTTTTGTATTCTCTAGTACTTTGAGTTGAATATAGATCATCTAATTGTGAGTGGGGGGTCGATCGGCCGGGTGGATCCTACAGCGATAGGCGCGAGGATAGACACCAAGATGAGGATAGACACTACAACAAAAGGAGGACAGACACTGACACTGTCGTCTGCCCATTACCATTACCTCCAAAGGATACCTGATCAACCAGGCTGTGACTCGTACGTCAGGCTGCGAGCAGCCGCGGCCAACAGCCTGGTTGATCAGTCCGGCAACCAGGAGGCCTGGTCGACGACCGGGCCGCGGGGACGCTAAGCCCCGGAAGCACCTCAAGGTAACCTCAAGGTATACCTCTAGTTGCTTGGTATAAATTAGAAAGCAGAAAATATTATCATCATCTTACAACAATCTTCATTAATTCACAAGTGCACAAGATGTTACCCAAGATGGTAGCCAGACACGAATTCATTTCTCGGTGTCTTGCCTACCTGGTGATGGTTCCGAGGATCAATGTCCATGTGGTCCGGTCTCTGACCAAGTCTCCTGGTTGGTGGATGGGTCAACCAGGCTGTTAGACGCAGTGAACGAGGCCCTGCGTCCAACTTATTTCGGGTTGTGAGAAGATGATTGTCGTTTAACATCTCTTAGTAGGCCGTAAGAGAGCCCAATAGGTTCATATTTATGTTCAGAGTAAAGGCGTGTTGTCTGAATTATGTGAGGGGGGGGGGAGAAGAGTGAATTATCAGAGGAAAGCACCAAGCCATTACGACTATATAGCACTGAAAAGGGATCAGGATAAGGATTTGGGATGGGACGGCGGGAAGGAATGGTGCCCAACCACTTGTGGACGGTCGGGGATTGAACCCCGACCTGCATGAAGAGTGACCGTGAGAACAAATTAACGTGGTATTCTTCAAGGTGACCAATTACATACGGTGTGGGGCGTCTTAAGAACCATCCTCAATATTTTAGTGAATTTTAACTACAAATGAGTTGGTCAATTAAGAAAATCTTTGCAGCAGGATGGGGGGAGGGGGGGGGGATGAATTAGACACGCACCTCCCGCCAAACACACTCCCAAACTACGACGTTGGTACAACGTTCGAACAAGTTTTAACACCTCCTAACCAGTTATAACAACCAATATAGCAAGTTGTAACAACGTTCTAATACGTCATAAACACGTTAAGCCAAGATATAACAACTTTATTACAAGTTGTAACAAGCGGAAAATAGAGACAGTTTCGGTTTGTGTTTCCAGGGCTTAACCCTAGTACGCGGGTTCGATCCCCAGCCATAGATTCTCTCATATATCACGTTGTAATTTTCCTTGTGTAGCCGATCAACTTTCACAAGAAACTCGTTAATGGTTTAGCGAGAGAGAGAAGGGCGCGGCGTCTTCAAGAGGCGCTCCAGGTGACTAAGACAGTGTTCTGTTTGTTTCTCCCAAGAGTTTGGTCGAGCAATGTAGAGAGCTTGCAATAGAAGCAATTGTGGTTGGAGGAACGTGGCTTTTCCCGGAAGCGGTGTCTGGCCAACTGCTGCTGATGACTGACAAAGATTAAGCCACCCACAAGAGGCCGCACGGGCATGAATAGCCCGTAAGTGGAGGCTATTTGAAGCCATTAACAGTACCTGGTTGATACCTGGTTGATGGGGTTCTGGGAGTTCTTCTACTCCCCAAGCCCGGCCCGAGGCCAGGCTCGACTTGTGAGAGTTTGGTCCACCAGGCTGTTGCTTGGAGCGGCCCGCAGGGCCACGTACCCACCACAGCCCGGCTGGTCCGGAACTTCTCTTAGAAAACCGTCCAGTTTTCTCTTGAAGATGTCCACGGTTGTTCCGGCACGGGCATGAATAGTAGTAGTAGTGAGTATGGTGAGTGAATGGTGAGTAGCTGGTACTCACCATCTGGTCACCATCTGGTCCGGGAGACATCTCCCATCACGCAGGGTGCAGTCGCACCTCCACAGATCTCCAGTATCATCTATTGATACTGGTAATGGCTCAAAATGGCCACCACTTACGGGCTATTCATGCCCGTGCCACCTCTTGGGTGGCTTAATCTTTATCAATCAATCAGCTGGTACTGTAGATCTGTGGGTACTGTACTGTGGAGGGAACCGGTCGGCCGAGCGGACAGCACGCTGGACTTGTGATCCAGTGGTCCCGGGTGCCGGCGAGAAACAATAGGCAGAGTTTCTTTCACCCTATGCCCCTGTTACCTAGCAGTAAAATAGGTACCTGGGTGTTAGTCAGCTGTCACGGGCTGCTTCCTGGGGGTGGAGGCCTGGTTGAGGACCGGGCCGCGGGGACACTAAAGCCCCGAAATCATCTCAAGATAACCTCAAGATACTGTAGAGAATCAACTGCTCATTTTCCAAGCCAATACATCCTTGGATGTAACCCCGAAGCTCTGGGATGCTCTTGGATGTAGGTTCGAATCCTCTTCATGGCCCTTGTGGATTTGTAACCCCGAACTCTGACTTAGATTTTTGACCCCCCATATGTTGTTAATCTTTAGGAAACTCAGCAAAAGTATCCCCGCGGCCCGGTCCTCGACCAGGCCTCCCATTACAAGTCCCTTTCTCAGATTTCAGGATGGATTCAGGTTTGCAGTGCAAATCTAATATAATATGAAAAGACTAGTAAACACAGCTGACTAATCTGATTAATGAGTTAATGATTCAGAAGCCTTCAGCTACAAGATAATTAAGTGTTAAGAGGTTAAAAAATACAGAGTAATATGGATGATTTTTTCACCGGCGGTAGTCGGCCACAGCAGCAGTATGAAGGCCAGTTAAGATGTTTTCAGATTTAGCTACTCAGATCTAAGTGTCCATGTAGCACGGGCTATAGTGAGCCCGTAATCCAGTTAAGATCTGCCAAGTGTTTTACTAATAGTCACCCGGGGCCCTAAATGGACCTGGACTAGGGTCTGGACCTAGACCTGGCCTAGGGCCTGGACCTGGACTCTCTGCATCAATCTTCATTGATGAAGGAGCTTAGTACATTCCTACAGGGAGGCTGAACAGATTAAAAAAGTCCTTGCCAACTTCCATATCAAGTCCATCCCCAAGTATTAAGACCCGACTAGTGGGCCTGCGGGCCGCTCCAAGCAACAGCCTGGTGGACCAAACTCTCACAAGTCAAGCCTGGCCTCGGGCCGGGCTTGGGCAGTAGAAGAACTCCCAGAACCCCATCAAGCAGGTATATGTGGGCCTGCGGGCCGCTCCAAGCAACAGCCTGGTGGACCAAACTCTCACAAGTCAAGCCTGGCCTCGGGCCGGGCTTGGGCAGTAGAAGACCTCCCAGAACCCCATCAACCAGGTATATGTGGGCCTGCGGACCGCTCCAAGCAACAGCCTGGTGGACCAAACTCTCACAAGTCAAGCCTGGCCTCAGGCCGGGCTTGGGGGAGTAGAAGAACTCCCAGAACCCCATCAAGCAGGTATATGTGGCCCTGCGGGCCGCTCCAAGCAACAGCCTGGTGGACCAAACTCTCACAAGTCAAGCCTGGCCTCGGGCCGGGCTTGGGCAGTAGAAGAACTCCCAGAACCCCATCAAGCAGGTATATGTGGGCCTGCGGGCCGCTCCAAGCAACAGCCTGGTGGACCAAACTCTCACAAGTCAAGCCTGGCCTCGGGCCGGGCTTGGGGAGTAGAAGAACTCCCAGAACCCCATCAAGCAGGTATATGTGGGCCTGCGGGCCGCTCCAAGCAACAGCCTGGTGGACCAAACTCTCACAAGTCAAGCCTGGCCTCGGGCCGGGCTTGGGGAGTAGAACAACTCCCAGAACCTCATCAACCAGGTATGAAGCAGTCATACCCACAAGGGTCAGCCTCCATAAGGGTACAAAGGAGAATGGGTACTTACGCCTCGCAGTATGGCAGCTTGTTGTATCCTTTATAGGTCTTCATACTGAGGGTCATGGCACACTCCTGGCACTTGAAGCAGCCCTTGTGCCATATCTGCAGGGGAAGAAGACGGCAAATTACTGGCATGGAATTTATAACCCAAGTCTACCTATGTAGACACATCTGCCACCTTGTTCATGTACGTTTACACACACACCTGCCACCTTGTTCATGTACGTTTACACACACACCTGCCACCTTGTTCATGTACGTTTACACACACACACCTGCCACCTTGTTCATGTACGTTTACACACACCTGCCACCTTGTTCATGTACGTTTACACACACACCTGCCACCTTGTTCATGTACGTTTACACACACACCTGCCACCTTGTTCATGTACGTTTATGCCACCTTGTTCATGTACGTTTACACACACACCTCCACAATGGGCCGTGCCACCTTGTTCATGTATTCGACACCTGTGTCCTTGTTCATGTAGCATTACCTGAACAAATCCACAAGGGCCGTGACGAGGATTCGAACCTGTGTCCGAGAGCATTCCTGACGCTGCCTTAATCGTTTATACCTGTTTCATACCTGCTTGCTGGCGTTCTGGGAGCTCCTCCTGAGACAGTAAGATGCATCTCAAAAGGATTGAGTAGCTTAGGCTATTTCTACCCTCGTTTTGCTCAAGTATCAAGACGTCTACGCGTAACTGTGGAGGTTATCTTGAGATGATTTCGGGGCTTTAGTGTCCCCGCGGCCCGGTCTTCGTATATCTTGGGGTCGTCTCTCCTGCTAACCCGTCTTGGAGAGCGACCTCCACACGTGACTAAATTGTCGTGCATTACACTCCTGAAATAGGCTCATGAATACCTGAGTATTCACACGAGTACGAGTACTCATCAGAGTACATAGATGATATATAACGAGAGTCGGCGTATGTCCAGTCCCTGATTAATTAAGAAAGAGGTGAACATTTTATTGACTGTAAAGTGGTCAAAATGATTGGTGATTGAAGCGATTAAAGTGATCGTGATTGGGGGAGGGGGGGGGGGGGAAGGCACCAGTACCTTTTCCGTCATTGACCAATTCATAGATCCTACTGTTGGTTCCCCAGGGACGCTTGTGCAGCCCGTCCTCCAAAGACCCAAAGACCATTCCATCCACCCGCCAAACTCGCTGTTTATGAATGAAAAACGTTTGCACACAATTCAACTGATGGCGTTCGAACACTTCCGGAACAAGTGCTTCACTGACGACTTGTGTTCGAACCACAACGCTGTAAATGCTTCACCCACGTACTACAAATACTAATAATCGCCAACAGAACCTAAACACCAAATAACCAGTACCTAAATATGAACAATGACAAAATAAAATGACTTTATACTTGAGAAAAGTCCTGTTTTTAATGAACCGAATGTTAAAATTGATGAATGCGTCTTTGGGGTCGACCGCTGGATGGAATGGATTTTGAGGACGGGTTGCGCTTGTGAGGTCCTCGGGAAGCCCACCACGTTACTCTGTCCCCCAGAGTTTAACAACATGTTGACCAGACCACACACTAGAATGTGAAGGGACGACGACGTTTCGGTCCGTCCTGGACCATTCTCTACATGCGTGATCCAAATGAATGATCATATAATAGTAATCACCTCGTTACATTCTCCAATGTCAAGTCAGCCCCACCACGCCTATATTCAATACAATTCAGCTCTCACATCCGTTACGTGACATTAGACGAATTAACCGTTCGTGAGAGTTAATAAACAAAGAGAAGCACGCGACCACCTCAGAGGCAACAGCAGAGTATCAAAAGTGATCGCGTTTCATCAGAGTCATCAGTGAACTTAGTTAACAGGAAAGGTTTCCAGTGAACTGGGAAAGGAATCATCAGTGTACTTAGTTAACAGGAAAGGTTTCCAGTGAACTGGGAAAGGCGTATTGCCGTATGATTCTCAGCTTGTATATTCTCCATGCTATTAAGAGAAGAACCTAAGACTTGCCGGCACTACTTTCCGCCTGCCGTGAAAGCCACTTGCATGCCTGTGTATAAGGCAGGATATGCAGATGGTATGTCCACTGACATGCCCACACGTGGGTAAGTGAGTCAGTGGACAGCGCAACGCTCCAGCTGTTACCACACTACGTCATTCATCCACCTTGTTCACTAACGCGTCACCCATTGTGTCTGCCAACGGCTACATGTCACTCTTGCGCAAGACACCACGCGGCGCCGTCGATTGTAAGAGATCCACATCTGTGAAAGCTCGCATGTGTAACTATTTTGGAAAGAGTATCAGAGTTACAGCCCCGCTCCTGTGCCAGGTAAGTCTACTGTGGGATCACCATAGCCCGTGCTACTTGGAACTGTTTTCCCAGTAGCTGAATCTAAAAACAACAACAGTGTGTTCCAAGGGTGAGTCAGGCTACTGGCGCGCGCGTGTGAGAGGCCAAATCATCCTCAGAACTGTTCCAGTAACGGGTTTGAAAGTGATGTGGACAGCACTGGCTTAGGCCAAGTTTCAGCCCTACTTCTGTGCCGGGTAAGTCCACTACGGGCTCACCATAGCCCGTGCTACTTGCCCCGCTCCTGTGCCAGGTAAGTCCACTACGGGCTGACCATAGCCCGTGCTACTTGCCCCGCTCCTGTGCCAGGTAAGTCCACTACGGGCTCACCATAGCCCGTGCTACTTGCCCCGCTCCTGTGCCAGGTAAGTCCACTACGGGCTCACCATAGCCCGTGCTACTTGCCCCGCTCCTGTGCCAGGTAAGTCCACTACGGGCTCACCATAGCCCGTGCTACTTGCCCCGCTCCTGTGCCAGGTAAGTCCACTACGGGCTCACCATAGCCCGTGCTACTTGCCCCGCTCCTGTGCCAGGTAAGTCCACTACGGGCTCACCATAGCCCGTGCTACTTGCCCCGCTCCTGTGCCGGGTAAGTCCACTACGGGCTCACCATAGCCCGTGCTACTTGGAACTTGTTCCGAGTAGCTGAATCTATAACAACAGAGACTGTTGCAACTTGTGGTGTTTATTCTCCACTAGAAGACACCACAGCTGGCACGGAAAGTATTGCCGCGGGCAATAGGGGAGCCGGTCGGCCGAGCGGACAGCACGCTGGACTTGTGATCCTGTGGTCCTGGGTTCGATCCCAGGCGCCGGCGAGAAACAATGGGCAGAGTTTTTCACCCTATGCCCCTGTTACCTAGCAGTAAAATAGGTACCTGGGTGTTAGTCAGCTGTCACGGGCTGCTTCCTGGGGGTGGAGGCCTGGTCGAGGACCGGGCCGCGGGGACACTAAAAGCCCCGAAATTATCTCAAGATAACCTCAAGAAGAAGAAGAAGGCACCAGACAGATAAGCGAGTGCTCTGGCCAAGGGAACTCCACAGTGCGCCTACACCAGTCACGATACCTGGAGAGGGTTTCCAGAGTCCTTCTACTCCCCGAGCCCGGCCCGAGACCAGGCTCGACTGAAACAGGATAGAAGACGAGAGTTAAATTGAAAACTGCGTTGTGGCAAAAACTAAAAGGCCCAATCAGCTGTTCTATAGCCATATAAGGAGAAAACCCAAGCTATACGATGTAATCGGGCTGAGGAGGCGAGGAGGAATGTTTCACAAAAAACTGGGAGAGATGCGAGGAATTACCAATAGTTTTCAGGAATTTACAATAAAATCTACGTAGAGACCAAAGGTTACGAGATGAAAGGCTAGAAGAAACACTGGATAACAGTCACTGTAAAGGCTAAAATACTGCCTTTAATTAGATACAACAATATCAAACCAGTGTATAGTTTGCTGAAGGTGGCTCCAGAGGTATTGTCATCCCACCAACTAAAACATTCAATAAAACTTTGATATGAAATCTTAAAATTCTGGAAAAAGGCAATTGTATAGTCCCAATATTAAATTTAGGAGTATCGAGAGCAGGCTCTAAATTACAGACCAGTGTGGCTGACAAGTATTCCTTGTATAGTGCTGGAGTAAACAAACCGAGAATGGAGCATTATTATTATTATTAACGTCTTTATTGACAAAATTACAATTTTGCCTAATCTGAGGATTTTGATGGCGCATCACACTGATGTATGACAACAGAAGACACGCCCAAGGCCAGCAAACGTTTCTTGCACGTTGTCACAAAGAGGTGAAGAACATGGATAAGATCGCTGATGAACGCGCCGACACGGGTGACGAGACCGCCCCGACACGGGTGATCAGTGACCAGACGAAGGTCGTGTTCTAGCGGCTATACACGCCTCGCCAAGCGTTTAATGCTGACCAAATAGTCAACTTGGAGATGCATGTCCAGGGATCCGTTTGGTACTCCAAGACAGACAACACGCGCACCAGGTTACAAGACACGGGGTTAACCATCATTGTTCTTGGGAAGGCTTACAGGTACTTCAGTGTAAGCTACTGCTTAATTGACACCATGAAGGGAGCATTAAATATGAACGATAAACATTATGTCAGGTGTTGACAAAGGCCCAGATCGGCCGAAACGTTAATCTCTCTTTCCCATTGATCTGTGGATTTTCCGCATACAAATGATCAGTGTTTAGTGATCGTCAATTGCATGAACGATAAAGTGTCCTCAGTGCTTAAATCTCACACACACACACACACACACACACACACACACACACACACACACACACACACACACGGTTTCACAAGTGTAGACAGTTTCAAGTGTAGATATGATCAGTTTCAAGTGTAGATATGATAGAGCCCAATAGGCTCAGGAACCTGTACACCTGTTGATTGACAGTTGAGAGGAGGGACCAAAGAGCTAGAACTCAACCCCCGCAAGTACAACTAGGCGAGTACAACTAGGTGAGTACACACACAGTCTTTTGAAGGGATGGCGAAAGTAAGGTTAGGTTTCAACCCGTCCTCTACTCAAGTCCATTACATCCAGCGGTCGACCCCACAGACCCATTCATAAATTTTTACACGCTCTTCATTCAAAACAATTTTTTTTCAAATATAAAATATATTAACATATTGTGACTATATAGGCATAGGTTAGGTGTTTAGGTTCTGTTGGCGATTATTTGTATTTATAGTACGTGGGTGAAGCATTTACAGCGTTGTG